AGCAGTGTGTGCTTTTGTGTGTATATGCATGTACATACACCAATAGGCACTGTATAGCTATATACACAAGGCCAAACCGCAATTAAAGATTTAGACTTTGAAACTGTGTCCTCTTCTAAAAAATAAAATTTTAGGCTCCTTGAGTTCTGATGTTAGCAGCTATTCCTAATTTGCAAAGTCATCAGGTAGCACAACAGTTTAGATATAAAATTACTAATAAAAATGTAAAAATTGGTATATAGTAGAATATATGGGAGATAACAGTGGTAAGTAGTATTTTAGGGTCATAAGATATTCATACCCAGAGTGTAAAAAAAGTCAAGACTCGCTTCCAGCTGTACCAGTCACACAAAGGCCTTACCTTCATTAGCAAGAATAATTCAACAAACCACTTCCCACAATTGTGTTGGGTTTTGGTTGGTTTTTTTTTTTATATACACCTCAATATGCCAATATCATGTCTTTACATTTTAGCACGTTTTTGCCCTCACACACTCCAGAATTCTGAAGATGAGATTTTTGGGTGCTTCTGTGGATGAGTGATAGTTACTAATGAAAGTGTTAACGTGGTCTTTGGCACCTCTATCTCATTAGTAAAGCTAAGTTCTGCTCCATTTTTCTTTAATAAAAAAATCCCATCAGTGGTGCGTTCTATTTGCACTGAAGAGTAGAATAGGTCTGTACAGCCTGATGATAGAAAAACATATGAAATGGCAATATATGTGTCTACAATTGTCTTTCCAATCGATTGCACAGAAGCTTGGTCCACTTCTTCAGTTACAGTGTAGTCCTCTTAAGAACTTTGGTTACAGCATTAATGTTTTAGTAAAAAAAAAAAACACCAACAAAACAACAAAACAGAGCAGATGCTTTCATTTTCTTCAGGTAGATTTTTCATTGTCTTCTCCTGTCTTCTGAACCCGTGAATACTTTTTGCATGAAGATTTGAAGCAGCTGGGAGGCCAAGATATTGGCCAGGAAAAGCTGCAAGGAACAGAGCCTTGCACATTCTTCTCAAAGAAATAAAATATTGGATACCACCATGCTCGAGAGAGAAAATTTGTCTGCGAAGAGACCTTTAAAGTCTGTATTGGCACAAGCAGGTAAAGAGGAAAAGGAAACAGACAATCAGTTTAAAGCATTATAATCAATTACATTAAGTCAACACAACTACAAAAATGCAATACATTTGCATGCATTTCTGCAGAGACAAGGTGCATTTAGCCTAGAAAAAACCAGAGTATTGAGATAGCGTATACATCATAGTCCAAACGTATACTACAAACTGAGCATCTAACACAAAGGGATGCTTTGTTGTGGTACAAAATTTAGGGAGACCAAGCACTGACTTTGAACATGAGTCTTTTCAGGCACATTGTGTTTCCATTGATAACTAATAGTTGAAAACTAGATTAAAATGGCTTGAGAGCTATGCTCGTACCAGAAAGAGCTACAGCAGATACCTTCAGAACAATGCACTTTTAGCAACAATTACAGAAGAACTGTCACTAGAATTTTAGGATGGTCTGGGTAGTTTAGGTTGGTCAGAAATTTTATTACTAAACTAGTTAAACTACTAAGCTTACTTTGTAAATTTAGACAAACATGGGCTATTCTATATATCCATTACAGTAAGAAAACCTTGAAGTTCAAAAAAATGCTTTAAAGCCAAAGTATCAGGAATTTAAAAAGTAACTTTATAAAAAATAAATTTTGAAATAACTTAGTAACAGGCACAGATCAAAACCCTACATCTTAAGCCATTAAGTATTTACTTAAACCACAGTAAAGTGAAACTCTTTGCTCAATTTGCTTGAACCTCAATATGGAACCTCTATTTTTATTTTGAAATTAAGAACTTACTTTGACCTTTGAGCAGTATTAAATGCATGTTGTACATGGATCCTAAAAGTATTTGCCACTCACCTTTTCGTTAGCCATTGAGTGGTACCACCAGAAAAGCCGTGTGGTGATATAGTAAGCAATGATGACGTCTACGGTATAGTGTTCATGAGCGACAAGGATACAAATTATGCCAGCAGCGCTCATTAGCCAGCAGATTAAGTGATACCACCAAAAATGACGTGGTGAATCTGTGAAATAGGGAGGTGATGAGAAAAAAAACACACACAAAAGCCATATACATTATTATAGCAATTCACAAAGGGAAGGGGAAAAAGATAAAAAGATGATTTAATTAAGGTTACTAAGTTTTAAAACATAACTCATTTATACCACACTGGCATGAGAACCCTGTTTGGACACAGAATACAACACTAAAGAATTACGCAAACTTATGGAGGTGTTCTTACTTTGTAAAATGAACTCAAGATGAGCACCATCACCCATTTCCTAGTCAAATTAAGTTTTGCAGTTAAATCACTTCTAGGGTATAGGGTGCAGGGGAAGGGAGGCAAGACATACGCTTCGATTATTTTACTTGGGTGTACTGAATCTCTGTTCTTTCTACAGTCTATGCTTAAGTAAATTTATATCAATTCTAGACATTTTACTTGAGTGTAACCTGAGCAGAGATTACAGATTAAACAGGAAAAGACACTCTTATTTTAATTCCTAGGTTTTAACTACTTTGCATAAAACCTCTGTTCTGTGAAACAAGAATACACTGTACAAGGAAGTACAGTATGTGAATTTATACCCTTTCATTAAAGATTAACAAATAGGAACGAAGCTATTCTTCAAAATGCAGTTAAGCCACTTCAGTGGAAAAAGTTCCCCTGCCCTTCTTTCCCCATTGAAAAATGCCTTGGGTGTCACAATGACCATTCATAACTTCTGACAGGCTAAAGGGTTTCATTTCACTCACAGTGGGAGGTTTTGGCGCCTGTTGCCTTGTGGGGCAGTGGTCAGCCTGTACTTTCACACAATACCAGCAGAAAAGCTACTGATCTCAACAAGCCTGCCCAATAGTAGTTTGAGAGGCTTGTGAAAAATAGTTACTGTAGGAGGATTTAAATTTTGGTGCAAGTGTCAAAACAGTAAGCTCTCCCCAAAACACTACAGATAAATCTATATCTACTGATTAAAAAAAGAAAAAAGAAAAGAGATAAGGAGTTAAGTCATCTCCAGAAATTGATGAAAACAGCCCCAACCCAGACAGACATACCAAGGTTAAAAATGTAAATAACTATGCCAGGCAAAAAAGCGGGAGTGCAGGGGAATAAGTGAAGAAGCAGCAAAGGATGAAAGTAAGAGAACAGCAGAGCAAAAAATCCACTAAGCCAGAAATAACAAAAACCTCAGAATGCATCTTGTACTGAAGACGTGTCATCAAGAGAGCAGAAAAGAACATCATAAGGAACCTCTAATTCAGAGCAATTATAGCACTTAAGCTCTTGTTCTGGTTACATTTTGCTAATTATATGGGAGGCTGAAGAAGGAAAGCTATGCATTTCTCATTTATAGAGCGCAATTCCACTGATATACATGCCTAACAGTTAGGCAGTCAGAGGGCTTATTACAAGAATTTGTACAATACAATTCCTCCAACCCCTTATAATAAAAGTACATGAGTTATATGCTACCCTCGAAAATATTGGGTTATCTGCATCTTTCCTGCTACTAAAGATACTACAGAGTATGTGACCAGCATTAAGCTGCAATAATATACATAAAACAAGGCAACCCCTGAACTTATTACTAGACTATTTTCCTAATACTGTTCTGGTAATTTTGATGAGTTGAGTTACACATGCCATTCCTCCAGTAATGTTCACTTTACATGAAGGACCTAGGCCTAAGAATCAGCAGACTATAGTCAGCTTCTTAAATCACCATTTGAAGAAAAATGTCTCACATCCACAGATTTGAAGTTTGTCATATTAAACAGGCGTTTTTGTCATGCTTTTTGTTTAAGGCAGAATGTAGCACTGCAACACTTCCTTCCCTCAACATTTTATTAAAAGGAAGGCATTCAACTGATGCTGGCTCATCTTATTTTTGTTTCAGTGAGAATCACACATTCCCGTGAGCCAAGCTAGCATTTGCATAGTTTGGGACACAACAGTAGGAGAGAAGATTCCAATTCCAAACATGTGAACTGGAAAGGGAACTCCCCACTATGCATTCATGAGTGGCCAAGTTCCCAGACTAGAAGCACTGCTTACCATGTATCAGATTTCGAAGTTGGTGCTCGGTTCTCCAAAGCTTCAATGCTGTGTGTGTGCATGGCACAGATTGCTATGGTGCATGAGGGGAAAAGCTATGTAAAGCAAAAGGGGGAACCATAACCCCAACTATATATTCTGTGCCCTTCCCAAATTCTTATCAACATCAAGAGGCATAAGTAGGAGACTAGCAGAAGACATCCAAGGAGCATGAATCAACTTCCCGTTGTTTGGGGTAACTGATGTACAGCAGTGCCACTGATGTAAAGCAGTGACATTGTACAAGTGCACAATGGCGCTGTGCTCAAGCTACAAAAAATCCTTAACATCTAAGGTATATCAGCCAACCTGCAGAGAGCTAATCTGCGTAACTAACTACAGTATGTTTTACCCAAAATTTGAATAACCTGTCAATGAATAATGAAAAGCTAGCTTGCTTCAATCAACTAGTAAACACTCTATATAAAGACAAAAGTGACATATCTAGTTACATCAAGCCCTTAATGAAAGCCCACACCACTTTTACTACACCTGCGTTCCATTTTCAGTCACATTTTGTATTTCAAACCCAGCTGACCAGTAACTTCTGAAGGACAATAGTTTTTATATGTACTGGGAAAACACATGATAAAACTGCAAAAGATTCAAACAAGAAAAGTGCATTGAAATACCACCACTTACACTCTTTGATGAACAGGTAGATCAGCGTTAACACCACAGTGTGACCACTGAACAGGAAATCTCCGCATAGGATGTGTGATCCAGTTATGGATAGACCACCACCAGAAATCAGTCGCAGGATCCTCTGAACCTTCGCCTGAGAATCTCCATTCAACTAGAACACCAGAAAAAGTACAAATAAAAAGTTTAAGGTACACCATAAGTGACTTGAGTAAACTGCCTGCCCAAACATATGTGGATTTAGGGAGATAGATAGGGAGAAAAGGACACAAGTTATCTTCATTTTCTTTGGCTTGCTTCCACATATTCTTAAACAAATAAGCATGCACAAAGCTGACAGGTGCTAAAGATCACCTTGATAACACTAGCGTTCTGGCGATGCTTTCCCAGGCTATTTTAAAATATGCATTGTATGAGAATGAGATGCAGAATATACTGGAAAGGTAAACATTAAAAATTTGAAAGGTCAGGTATCTCATGATAGCCATTGATGGAATGGATAAAACACATTCAAAACCTGTTCCAATACAGTACAAAGTTGCATATCACTTTTGTCATTCTGTTGAGCTGAGCAACGTTTCTACAAGACAAAAACCTCAAACTCGCTTCATTTCAGATTTGGTTACAAACTCAGTCAGGACTTACTCAGATTTAGAGGATTTATTTTTTTTTTAAACATGCATTAGCATCAGCTTTTGATTTCTTATAGGTAAAATTAAGTGTTTGCGTAGTATCTATCTGTATATTTTTTAAATATTCTTGTAGAAGTATTAGCATGTACATGTTTCTATATGTATCTGCTCATTTAAGTAGCTGAACTCGTCTTAGTCACATTTATATACGTTTTGCAGGTTGGAAGCAGGGACAGGCAGCTGACTTCAGATATTGCGACAGTTCTTGTCAAAATAGGGTGAGGAACAGGAAAAAGCATATAACGTGTTATTTTAAAAGGATACAGCAACTCAAGCTTGTGTATGAGCCTATTAATTACAATATTGACTTTAGGTATCCCACCATGTAAGAAAAAACACTGCTGCATTATTAGAAAGATCAGCTTGAGCCTCAGAAGCAAGTTTACTAATTTGGTAACAGTACTATTTCAACATAGGTACTTTCCTTTAAAGCATCTTAACTGTAGCAACGGCTTGAGGCTCTTTCTGTATCATGCAATTTTTGGTTTATCACTATCGACATTTCTGAGGACATCAACTGAAAGTAACTTGTTTAATAAGAGCTGAAACATTATCTTCTATTTGCTCTAGTAAGCCATAGGGACTCAGACAGAGACTAAGGCAAGAATTCGGAAGCAAAGGCTCTTACCTTTGGTGCACACTGAAAATGCATTCCAGGCACAGGTAAGGTGGTAACGTACATAGTAATACAGCGGTACAGATACAAAGTTCCTATTATAAAAAAGAACCTCCGTCCCACTATTGATCTGTAAGTAAGGGAAGGGGGGAAAAAAAAGACTGAGTACAAAGTTCACATGCAGGATATAACAATTATGAAGCTCTAGCTTTATCATATAGCTAAATCCCTAGGAATAAAGAACAGCTCCACCTGCTGCCCTTCACCACATGCTTCTCCAAATCAAATACTAAAAAAAAAAAAAAATCTTCAGGTTTCAGTCTTGGTAGCTCATAATAGTACGTAACTACCACCAAGCTCCCACCACAGCTATCTAACCAATTCAACATGGCCTCAGTCTAACTTAGGTGTGCAGTCAGGCACAGCCTTCCTCAACTCAGTGACCTTCTCTTTTTCGTCCCCTATTATAACCACATACTCAAGTTAAGTATGTATACTTTAAGCAAATGAAGATACAAAAAAAAAAAAGCTTCTAGTCTAGCTGTAGAGGACTGTGGGTTCCTCCTCAAATTTGGATGAGGCAATCATCATGATTTCCTCCGTTTAAAACATCGTCATGTCAGTAAACACCCTTTGAAAAGCCCAATCCCAGCATAAATTTGACTAGTACAACACAGGTGTCAGAAATTCAGATTTAAAAAACATTGAATAATCAGGAGAAACCTGTGTTTCCATATCTAGCATGGACACTGAAACATTTTCTAAAGAAGTCACCCCTTTGTCATTTTCCTGCCAGCCCTATTCTACAGTATTGCTACAGACACTACCGTAAGATTTCTACCCAAAGTGAAGAAGGGAAACCAACATTCTGAAAACATACAGCAGAGGGGAAAAAGAAAAAAAAAAATATAGCTACTTACTTGTATCTAAGAAATAACCACTGGAATATCCATAATCCAACTAGTATCATTCCATTTATTTCTGATACAGAAAAAGCCCATTTCACACGATCAATGTAATCAAAAAATTTATCAGGCAAGGGAGGGCTTAGCTCCTTTGGAGGTACTCTCTCATGAACCACAGTGATCATGACAGTTGTTAGAATCAAGTTGAAGAGAGCATAGACAAAGGCAATGCCTGTTTTCCACCATTCCAGAGGAAATTTGTTCCTAGATTCAGCAGGCATAGCAATCTGGATGTAATCAGGGTATTTCTTTGTTGTTTTTCGCAAGCCATTAGACAAGCCCTTTGGTTTGCTAGTGCCATTTTTATTCTCTTCACTGACTGAGAGAGTAGGTCGTGAGTAGCCATTAGAAGTGTCATTGTTTTGACCCTCCATATGCTCTTCAAGCTTTGCTGTCTCAATGGTATTCATTCCCAAGCTGTATGGCCAAATCAGCTTTATCAGTGAACAATTTCTGGGCTCTCTGAAGTCTGTTATTCCTCGAAGTCCAACGTTATTGTTCCTAGATGATTTCTGTAAAACTCTAAAAGATGTACATTGTGCTTTCACTATTCAGATGCTGTAAAGCAAGTCGTGAAGCCAAATCTTTCTTTCCTCTAGAGCTGTATCATCTGGAAGAAAAAAAAAAAAAAAAAAGAAAACAAAACAGATACTGAGAACTTCCAGAACTAGTAATTTGACACTGAACAAATATCTTAAAAACGTTTATTCTAAGTTCCATGCAAGTCTACTTACAAATACAAAAGGCAAACTAAAGGACAGGTGGTTACTGAGAAATAACTCAAGTCAGTTCCTACTAGTAACTTGATGAATCTCTGATCAGTTTTGGAACTAAAAAAAGAAATAAGCCGAAATTGCTACTATCGGACAAGATCCACAGACTTCAATGATCAATGGCAGCACTTGTCAGAATTAAAACTAATACATGCTTGCAGCAATATTGAATTTTATCGCTTAGGTGCATGCCATACCAAATATCTCCTTTTTGATCCCAGGGCTATAAATATTAACATTGTTTGTCCGTATAGATCAGATAATCTTGTTAGTCCAGATGATAAGACAGAAAACAGAAGGGCACTATAGGATTTGATTTTGTAAGGCAGAGTGTCACTTAGATTCATCTAGAAAATCTACTCAGTGATAGCTCCATTAAATTTTCTTGCATCTCGATGAGTATTTCAACCAAAACAGTAAAAAAAAAAAAAATAGATATGTCTACATAGCTAATGAGTACCCGCTAAATGTCTGCAATTTCAAAGAACTGAGAAATACGCTTCTGGATTAGATTCTTAGTTATGGTAACCTATATGTAGAACAGATTACAAATGGATCCGTGTTTGGCCTATAGTTACTTAAAAATATGTCCAAAATGATTTTTTTTTAATTAAACAGGAACAAAAAGCAAGATTCATTATCACATAGGATTTATTTCAGGCAGCATTTGTCAATTCAGTAAAATCTCATTAGATAAAAAAATAGATAAAAGCATACGTTTTATAACAACATTTTCTAAAAAGAGAAAAGAATGCAGCTCACCTGTACAGCACTGACATTGCTGTCATCAAAACAGAGGCCATTTCCCCCCCCAAATCCCATCTTTAAAGTTCTGTGAAACCACTTGCTTATCGTAGTTGTGACATACTTATTTTTATTACTCTGTTCAACTCCTACAGCTAAAGTAGTATTATCATATACAAAGTGTTCAATATCTATGAGCATATTGTAATTCTCTTGTTTTAATTGTTCCTCTAAGAGAAGTTCAACACTACCAGCACCTCAGGTCTGTGTGCCAACACAAGCTGCTATAGTTTGCTATACTCTATGTACAATTAAGTCATCAAGATGGAAACTAGAGCTGTCAGTCTCCCTAACCATAAATCACAGAACTTGGCTTAAGAGAAAACAACCTGCTTAGGAAAAACCTGTCCAGTAACTGGACAGCAGGGACAATCTAAAATAAAAACAGCCTGGAAAGTCGAGTGTTTGTGTTTTGGTCCCTCACCCCCTCAATCAGAGAAGACATTTAACATGGTCAGCATGTAAATCCCACTGATTTCCTCACAAAATATGCTCACAAATATCCAAAACTGATGCAAGTAATACTGGAACAGTCAAGAAGCATTTCTACATTAACCTCTCTTCAGTGTTTCTAAAATCCACTGTCATTGGCTGACCTTTTCTGAATCCGTAATTGACAAGTGTATGAAAACTGGAACACACAAAACCCCTGAACAACAAATCTCCACCCCACCCCTCCAAAAAAAAAAAAAAAACCCACAACAAAACAAGTGGTAACTTCAGATCCTTTTTCTCCCTCTTAATCTCTTACAGAGACTGTAAACTCTGGTTCACTAAGAGAAGGGGATGTTTAACCCAGCAGCCAGGAAACAACTGCTCTGAAGCTTCCTACAGCTAAGAATATTCTTTAGAGCTGCTACAAAAGCAGTAGCCTTACTTAAAACTGCAACCTTTCAATTTTCCCAAGTCCTTTTCTTAACCCTCTCTATTCCCTCTGTCTACTAAAGACAAGCATACGACAGAACACTTAACTGACAATACAGAAAAAAATCTGAACCCATCTAACTGCTTAAGTTTTGGAACACAAGTCTACCTAGCGCTCATTTAAGTCAAGGCCCTTCTCCTCAACATGATGTCATACATAACAGTCACTGATGTAGAGATCAGCAATCAAAACTTGATACATTTTATATCCTGCACAGTTGAAACATTTTTAGAATTATGCATTTAATGAAGAACAGCATCACAGAAATCACAGAAGTTAGCTATTGCCTTCTCTTCCTCCCAAATACCTAATACCACCAGTAACATAAGTAAAAGGAAGATTTTTTTCAGATATTTAATAACATCCAAATCAGTCTTAAAGATCAAAAAGCATCTGAACTACAGATGAACAATAACTTAACAACCTAAAAGTAGAGTGGCACTCAGGTTTTCATATTAACTTCCTAAGCAATGCAATTATACCTGCAGCTTTGCAGGAAAAAGTTGTGTTCCTTCCTGGTGCTTTTAAATGGATTGTAAAGCATATTGATCTACCATTTCTGATGGCTCATCAAGATTATTTCAAGTAGAGTGCATACTGTGGTCAAACCTTTGTTTACATTGATAGTTCAAGGTGCTAGATATCATCTCATCAGTGATCTGTAAGAACATAAAGGCTTTCCTTTATAGTACCTTTTCAATCTTTCTCCCATAGTCTAAAACAAAGCAGAAATTCTATTGATGAAAAAGACAAAAAAACGCTCTGCCTGAAGCTTTCAGTCCCTTGCTGCCCATCTGACTGGCCACAGAAGTGACAGATACAGAGCACAAATAGTGTCATCATTCTCTGCTACAGGCTGTAAAAGGAACTCCCCAGAAGTACATAGGTTTTCCCCCCCACCAAGGCCCTGTTCCCAATTCACATTTCCATCAAAGTGCCCAGGAGGGGTGTGTTCCTTTTAGCTTCCATGTTGTCCTTATGTTAAATTAGGTAAAATATCCTATTACTTCTTTTGTCGAACCTGGAATGCCCCCACATCAAAAACAGGAGATGCCCATAAACTGCCTAGTAGTAGGTCTTAAACTTCTTCAGTAAGCAGGCAGCAATGCTCAGACCTGGCCTTCTTGCCAACATCTATGGTTTGAAAATCAAACCCAATTGCTCTAAGCTATGGCACATCCACTGGGGGAGTCTCAAAGACTTACACAGAATTGCCCAAGTAATCCAAAAAGATAAATAAAATTCCTATAAAGAATACACTCAGGTTTTAGGAACAAGTGTTCTTTTGGGGACCACTTCAGTACCTTCTAAAAATAGCCACGTAGCCTCACGGAGGAGCAGAGCTTCTTAACCAGCAATATTACAGCAGAAGTCACGATGACCACAAGGAACAACATATTTCAAAGAAAATCTTAAGAGTGAAAAAGATGCAAAAAGAGCAGGAGTCCTAACTGTTTATCCTGAGCTTCTACTTCCTCCCATGCAAATAGGTCCTTTAGTTTTCTCCATCCCCATTTGACCATCATTCCAAAGACAATAGTTGACTGGGGGTGCAGCTTTGAGACAAGTGTAAGAGAGCACGTCTACATTTGGCTCTTTATGCTAAAACTTCAGAATAACAAGCAGTTTTATTTAGCTTGTTAGTCATCCAGTTTTCATATAAAGGTCATTTTCACATAAAGTTAGCTCACAATTGGTGTTTCTCATCCCGTATTTGGAACTTTTGTAACATTTCTCAAAACACTTGAATTCCTATAATTTATCAAGGACTGAATAGTCACAATTTGCACAGGCCTTACGAATAAGTAGCTCTTAACCTGCTGTTCCAAATATGGACAATACTATCAGAACAAGAGCATCCAAAACAGCAAGACCAGTCTACTCTGACATTAAAGGAAAGCTACACACTCATACACAAGATGGGAACGGTTTCTAGGCAGAAGTATTTTTAAACATCATTCACTTTTATTAAGGTTGGCTCAAATATTTTATACAGCTGCAACATATTCTTGTATTTCATGAATGCAGAAAAAGGGTCTGTAAATAAAGTACTGCAGAAAAAAAATTACACAATTGGAGATAACATGAGAGACAGTTATAGTATCATATTGTTATCTGTATCACAATTAACAGGAAACAACTGTTAGCTGGTTTCTTTTCTCCAATCAAATTTTTAGCACTACCTATGGGACCAGAACTAGAAAAGAAGCTGGGTAGCCTCTGCTACCTTGACAGCAAAGAATAAAAACTGGCTTTTGGAGGTTTCTCTTTCATTTTTAAAAGCATTCCAGGTTTAAGTTTGTTTTTATAATATCCCTTCTTCCATGCCATATGCATGCCTCACAGTATGTAGACCTTTGCGGGGTGGGTAAGGGTAGGGGGGTGCAATCACAAACCAAAAAACAACTGCTAAACCAGATCTGAGTAAAGAACATTTAGGTATGCAGAAACAGGTTTGCTTATCATTTCTATTTCCGTACAGTAAAAATATTTTCAGAGCTGTGTTCATCTTTCAGCCCTACAGTGTTATGCTCACACTATATAAATACATGCACAAAGTGAATTGCAGTTTATCTAAAAGTTACAAATTTATCTACATTCTGTAATAGGCTGCCAACAGAGTTCTTGCTCATGTGATGCTGAAGAAGTGCAAGTAAGATAAAGCTATATTATAGAAGTACTGTTCATTCAAATGCACTCAGAACTGAGGTTATCATCATATTGTCACTTGCAATAAATTTCAACTTTTAAAAGAAACATCAACTACTTACCCTGTATAAAATTCTTTCCAGTAGTAGAAATGGAGCAGATACTCCCTCTACCTCTTGAGAGAAGGATTTTATAATTCTCTCATTCAGGATTACTAATGTACCAACAGAAGCTGTATTTTAAAGACTAAATCCCTATGCTTACCAAGGTAGAGGGGGGAAGTTTCAAGGTTACTGGTTATTTATTTGTATAATTTAAGTTTTACCAGTTCTGTGAAATTCTGTTTCTTTATGCCTCTTTAACAGTAAGAAGGATATTAGTTTCCATTTTCCTGGCATTTAATGTTCAGTGTGTTCCACAGCAGTGCCAGGTTTCTGAATCAGTATGTCC